TCCTGATCAGAGGAGAGCTGAAGTTCCCACTCGTGTATCTGAGTTTAAGGAGAACAGGTAAATAAAGACGTCGGTATCCACCGGAGTCACAGAGGAAGATCAACGCCAACATCTTTTCTTTTTCCTCTCTATCCTCATTCTCTCTCTCATCTTTATTTCTCTCGTCTTCTTCCTCATCATCATCTCTTTCTCTCTGTTTCCCCTCCTCTCATCCCTCTCTCTTTTCATTGAATACATGTTGTAATATTAAAGAGGAAGTGACTGAGAGAACAAGAGAAGAGCAAGTTAGACGTGAAGCATGAAAATGAAAGGATGAACTTCTTCACCTCCTCTCTCGTTCTCTCTCTCTCTCCCCCTCTGACAGATGGCGGGTCATTAGGCCGATGTCACGGCGACTGATGGATGATTGGTCCCTTCAGGGAGCGCCCATCATCCGGCTCGTGTGATTGGCTCCCTGACAGCTTGAGGGAAATCTCCCCTCCGCTCGGCCGATCTACAGTTACACCCAGGAGAGAGAGAGAGAGAGAGTTATTCGTTAGTTGAAACACCAGCTCGTCCCGTCACTGTTGAAAAAGTTTTAAAACTTTATTCCAGAAAGAAAATCTCCCAATGAAACGAATCAGAAGTTAAAAGTGTTTTTCTGTAAAGAAATAAACATCAGCAGGAGGTTACAGGTGTGGATCAGTCCGGAAACTACAGGTACGTTTACTCAAGTACTGGACCTGAGTACAACTTCCAAGGTTCGTTACACAGAACATCAGGGGAGGCTTCATTGGGACCTGTTGATTGGATGAACCATCTGTGTATCTTCAACTTCAACCAATCAGATTCTTCCTCCTTCCCGTTAGCGGAGCCAGTCGGTGAATAAAACTGAAAACCGACGCTATAGCAGCATCCATGCTAATCTCTTTAGGAGCCGCCGTTGTTGTTAACATTCGCTTCACGCCGTCGTCACTCCTAAGACACACCCACAGCCCCTCCCTCACAGGACGCTGATTGGTCCGAACCACAAGCGATCATCTTGGACCCTGACCAGATGGAAATCCCGTTGTTGCGAGGTTACGCTGCTGATTCCACCAGATAACGGCATGGTCATAAGATACATGTTTAACTGAGAGGAGTTTGAAGAAGAAGAGACTTCCTGTTTCCATGGTGTTCAGGTGTCTGCTCCTGATGAACATTATGGTTCTGGAGCCGATCTCTCCAGAACCTTTGACCAAAGGGATTCAGTAGTCCTGGTTTGGCAGGACTCAGGACCTGAACCCAGACCTCCAGCGACCACCTTCGCACGAGAACCCAACGCTTTGCCAGTGAATATGATCCCGGCAGCATTTACGTTTCCTCTGAGATGCATTTGGCAAAACAGTTGAGTAGCATATAAATGTAATTTGTAGACGGGGTCGATCCCCGACTGAGACTCCAAACATTAAACTTCACAGCTGAACCTTCAAACACCCACAGAGAGGGGAGACAGAAACACGGCTTCAAGAGATTTAAAAGCCATTTTTGAAAAGTTCGTAGCCAAAGTTCAGAAGTTTTTTTGCTCTGACAATAAAAGAAAACCTTGACCGTGGCACAAAAACACTTTGAACCAACAAGAGAAAGAAGTCAAGAAAGATAAAATGTAGGAGAAACGGGTGGAAGGAAAGAAGTGGAGAAACCAGATGAAGAAAGGAGGTGGAGGCCTGAGAAAAAGGAAAAGCAGAGTGATGTGACTGACGGGTCAGAGAAGAACAGGAGGAAGGAAGGGGATGAGCGGATGGTGAAAGTGCAGACTTGGCAGCGGAGTTTTTTCCAGACACCTGTCTAGGATTTCATTTGAAGGATGTGTTCAGCCCCCCCGACAGGCCACACACTGACTGACAGACAGCACACAGACCACATCCACCACGCTCTCCTCTCTTTACTAATATTTAAAGGAACTGGAGGCGTACGTGATCGAACTCTGACAGAGTAATTATTCCCCAAACTGTAATCTCAGAAAATGTTCCGCCTGGATTGAAAACGCTATTGTGCAGGAATATATTACATTTCTCCCTCTGCAGACTGGGATCAGGCTGAGCAGCTGCTTTTGCTCATGTGCTCCTCAAGAGGTTGAGAAATTAATAAAAACATGTTTAACCTGTAAATGTTTCATCGTAAACTTTTCCAAACGGACAAAGACACGGGAATGTGTCCCACAGCTGCACAACGCTTTAAAATTAAATTATCTCGTCACTTTTCATTCTGGTGAACACAGTGGAGCGTTTAGCAGCTAAAGAGCCAGATGTTTCCCTCAGCAGCTGGTGGAGACCAAACACAGAGCTGAAAGAGCGGGAACACTGGACTGAGATTCACCAGGTGACGAGTCATCATGTTGCTGTGTGACGGCCTCCACCTGACCGGGGGTGTGGCTGTAGTGGAGGAGTTACTCTGAGGAACAGGGTTGAGACAGATGCATCAGCTGGTCCAACGCTGTCTCTCACCTGGACTCTTCCCCACCAGAGTTCACACGTCTTCCTCTGTCCTCCGTTGTCTCACTGCTGATGACTGAGCACCAGTGTTTGTAACATTAGATCATGTATGACATTTTATATTGGTAATGAAATGACAAGCTAACACTGGAAATGAAAGGACGTGCTATCAGCTAGCTAACATTAGTTAGCTGAACTGTAACCTCAGGCTGTCTCTGGGTAAATTTCCAGGATTTATTGTTTCATTACATTTTGTAAATGTGACTCGTCCACTAAGTTGTTCCTGGATTCTTCACTGACGCTGCACAGATGAGTTTCTCTGGGAATAGTTGGTGAAACCTTCGCTCTCTTCAGACCTTCAGCTGGAGGAAAAGCTCCGTGTCGTTTGTCACAGACGGTCACTGGTTTCTGTCTCTTATTTCCACGTCCAGTCCAGCTCCAGGCAGGGGGCTGAGAGGAGATTTATACGTCAGGGGTTAGTGTTGGGTCGTCTGGGGAGGCTGCAGACCCCGACACGTTTCAGACCAAAGAGGAAAAAGAAAAGCTCGGTGACGTCCCTCATAAATAAATAAGAGCTAAAAGGCCTCCGCAGACCCCGCTGGACGTCCCAAAGCTCAGGACGGCATTGTTAAATTTGACAACAATGGAATTTAAGTACGGCGACCCGCAGGGGCCACAACTCAGAGAGACGGAGCATCCTGCTTCCTGTTCAGTCTTCAAAGCAGAGCGAGGTCAGAGAGACAGAGACACTTAGAAATGACAAATCAAGAGTTTTTGTCCAGAATGGGGCAGAAAAAATAAAATCACATCCAGCTGAAATGAATTCTTTAAAGTGCTAAAAAAGTCTCATGTGACCTACAGGAAACACACGGCCCCCTCAGCCTGGCTCATCTTTAGCTGGATTAAAATGCTGCAGTGGCCAATCAAATGCATCTAAACACACATTCCTTTTAGATTACTGTGAAGTTCAACTGTAGGATTATGAGACAGCGGGGCCCTGAGCACAGACCAGGGGTCAGGACAGTTTAAAAGACTAAATGAATTACAAAGAAAAAACTGAACCAATATGAAACTGGACTCCTCTGATCTCGTTCCCTTAATTCAGGAATTTGTATCTATTCATAATTACTAATTATCTTCTTTTTCACTTCCTGTTTCCGTCTGTTTCCAGGAATTGATCCAGAAAACTGAAGCTGCGGTTTTATGAGCGGATGAAATCTGTATCATCAAAGTTGTTATTGATAAATGCAGTGAATCCGTCTCACGTCCTGACGAGAGCGAGTCCTCGTGGAGAGGACAAACAGAGCAAAGGTTATTCAAACCACCGGCCTCAAACTGGGACAGTCCTCCTCGCATAGAAACAAACCTGGAAATAAAACGTTCAGTAACAGAAAACAACTTCCTGTGTTCAGCTCTGACTGAGTGAACGAGTTTCCTTCACGCTGCTCCTTTAATACAGAGCAGAGCTGCAGACAGGACAGACGACAGGAGGGGGACTCAGTTATTTTCAGGTGAGTGCTGCCACCTGGTGGATGACAGAAGTCACAGACTCAACTTCACATCCTGTTTAATGACTGCTGGTTGTTTAATTAATATAAATGAAATAATTCTATACGTTATTATATCATATGGGCTGTACAACATAAACATCACATTTATCATCTGGTGTATTTAGTTTCTTCTATGTTCTTAAGCTCATTATGTTTGTTGTAGCTTATTATTCATTATTCATACATAATTATATATATACACGCAATGTGAAGTATTGCTATTACATTTATTTTGACAGCCACAGGAAGCTCATCCAGCCCCCACCACACACAAACATAACCCGATCAAAAGATATATAAAAAGAATTAAAAACAAAACACCTGGGGATCTTGCTGCAGGTGTTTTCTGTTTTTATCCATTAACACAATAAATAAACTGTAAAAAGTGAAGGGGCCTGGATACTTCCTGAAGTGTGTGAATGTTTTCTTTAGGTTCTGTGTGTTGTATTTTATTTGACGTCTCTTCAGTCTGAATCTTACTGTAACGTTAAAAACACAAAATAAAAAGGTCTGAAGATTTCATTTTTACTGAAGCACGAGGATTTTTAAAATTCATGTTTACATCTAAAGATTTCGCTTTGAATGCGATTAAAAAAACATTTGTAGACTCAAACATGTCGAAGAAATCAGTGTCAACTTTGATCCGTTTCATACAAACTAAAACACAACTTTAATAATTATAAATTCTGCTTTTATTGAGCAAAGAGAAAAGACGATGGTGAGTTTAATGTGACGGATGAAGAGCAGTTTCAGAGTTTACAAAGTGTTTAAGGCACTTTAACGACAGAGCTCAACACAAACTGAATCATTAATGTTCCCTCGTTACAAACACAACACAACGATAAAAACATTAGATCATGATGAGAGTTCAATCATCTCACACGCTGGTGTGTTCAGCTGGTTAATGATGTCACTGTTTTACCTGATGAAAACAAACAGCTGACACGTTCAAATCTGCTGCTGTGTCTGCAGGTGCGACTGTGTTAGCATGCTAACATTAGCACTGAACGCAGAGTCCAGCTGAGGCTGATGGGAGAGTCATTAGCTCTGCACAAACCAAAGTACTGGACAAATTCAAATGTGACCTGATGGAGGCGCCAGAGGAAAAGTCAGAGGATCATCAGAGTCCATCCTCAGAGACGCCAACACGGCGCTGCTAACGCGGCTAAAACAGATCTGGTCTCAGCACAGATCAGGACCCAGACCTGATGGAGAACTGAGAATCAGAGGGTTTGATTTTCTGACAGGAAGTGAATGTAAAGACAGAAGCAGAGTTCATGTTCTACGTGTGAAATCACTCGTTTGTGCCGTTTAACAACAGCCGAGCTTCTCGTAATAAAAACTACGAGGAAGAATTATCCTGGAGTTTCAGTTTCAGTCCTGATCCTGGAGGATTATTGGTCCTCAGAACACACACACACACACACACACACACCTCCTCCCTCCCTCAGAGCTTGGCCTTGGCCTGGAAGAAGCTCATGACGGCGTTGAAACACTCGTCTGACATCCAGCGGCCAATCAGACACTCCACCTCTGCGTCATTTACCGCGTAGAGACGCTCCTTCTCCACTGAGCGGATCAGCTGCTTGGAGAACGCCAAAGACTGACGGAGACGGAGACAGAGGACATGACATTTAATTCAGTTATTTTAAAAGCATAAAAATAATCTACACGCTGGTCGACGTGTGACTGATGACTTCACTGAGCAGGACAGGTGATGGAAGTCATGATGCCTTCACTGTCTGCTGCCCATTGGGGTATTCATTAACTGTGGTGTGTGTGTGTGTGTTTACATTGCGGGGCAGCTTGGCGTAGGCCTTCAGTCTGGTCCAGACCTCCGACTGGAAGCTGCTGTCTGGGAAAACCTCAGTGACCAGACCCAGTTCACAGGCCTGAGCCGCCGTCAGCTTCTTATTGAACAACAGCATTTCACTGGCCTGGGGGAGGGGGGGGGGGACAGTAAGTTCTGATGGAGCAACCTCTCGATGTAAAGGAAGAAGGAGAAGAATGAAAACAGAAATCGAACCACAGATCATGAAGGATGGCCCTCCACTGCACTGTAACCATTACTGTAACCTGTAATGGTAGAGTGTGTGTGTGTGTGTGTGTGTGTGTGTGTGTGTGTACCTTGGCGGTGCCCATTATCTTGGGGAAGGTGTAGGAGGAGCAGCCTTCAGCGCTCTGACCCAGCTGACTGAACGGAGTGTGGAAGGTCGCCTGAGACAGAGAGGTGATGTCACTACAGCAAACATCTGTGTGTGTGTGTGTGTGTGTGTGTGTGTGTGTGTGTGTGTGTGTGTGTGTGTGTGTGTGTGTGTGTACCCTCTCTGTGGCGTAGACCAGATCAAAGAGTCCCAGCAAAGTGACTGAGATTCCTACAGCCGGTCCATTCACCACGGCAACCAGCGGCTTCGGGAAGTCGATGTAGGCCCTGACGTACTTCCTGTAAGAGAAGACACACACACACACACACACTGTCATGACTTTCTCCAGGATGTTCTGGCAGACATGAATGTCACGTTAGAAGAGGATGAACTCAACTCTGAGAAAATAATAATGTTTAATGAGTCAGCTGATCAGCCAAACAGAGCCGCTTTATTTAATCAATCAATCAATGATCACCTGAGCAGCTCTCCACCTTGTCTGGCCATCTCCTCCACCCCTCCCTCTTTCAGCTGGAAGTTGGTCAGGTCGTTTCCACTGCAGTAGAAATCACCAGCACCTGCAGTGAACAGTGTGTGTGTGTGTGTGTGTGTGTGTGTGTGTGTGTGTGTGTAGATGCATAAGATACTTTATTCTATTTTCTATCTAAAGGAATTTTCCACCAAACACAGTGAGACGATCATCACAGGCATTTTAACATTTATATAAATCATTTTAAAATAGTATAATGATTTATAAATATTATAAACATTTTAAAATTTTAAACATTTTCAAAATCATAAAAACATTTTTAAACATATTATAAACATTTTTAAAAACATTTTTAACCTGTAACGTCCCAGTTTGATTTCTGGTTTTCTATTTCTGTTTTTGTGTCTGTGCCTGAGAGTCTAAATTCAGGGGGACAGGGTGTGTGTGTGTGTGTGTGTGTGTGTGTGTGTGTGTGTGTGTGTGTGTGTGTGTGTGTGTGTGTGTGTGTGTGTACCAGTAAAAACAGTGATGACTGAATGGTCTTTCGCCGCCTGCTCCAGAGCTGCGATCATTTCACTGTACATCTGAAACAGAAGAGAAAGACGTGTGAGAGCTGACAGGACGACACACTGATCACTGTCCATCTTCACTGTCATGACAACCAGCATCATCGTGCTGATGATGTCACTGTCAGAGCTTTGGACCATGGAAACATCTGGCAGCAGCTGTAGGTCACATGACCGCAGGAACAGGAAGCTGACAAACAAACAAATACAGAGACTGATGTCTTTAACTGTTCGTCACCTTCCTCAAAATCCTGACTTTATTAACTTTATTAAATCTGCATTTCAAATGTTAAAGTTCAATGTGTCATGACATTTTAAACAGTCTCGCAACCTCAGGTCACATGACTTCCTGTTCATCTATACTTCATTAAACTCATATTTACTTAAATCATAATTAAATGAACACACACACCTCGGTAGTGATGGCGTTTTTTTTGGCCGGTCGGTTCAGTTTTATGGTGGTGATGTCATCCTCCGTGGTGACCTGTAGCGTCTTGTACGTCGCCCCGCTCCCAGCAGGTGAGGCGGCCTCCCGGGCGGAGCTCGGACCTTCTGCCTCCACCAGGGAGCCAATCAGGTTGCAGTACTGCTGCCTGGCTTCATCCTGAGAGACATCAACATTAACTGCTGCTTTATGTGTTGGATTGTTGTTGTTGTTGTTGTTGTTGTTGTATGTGTTCTGTTGTTTACACCTTACATGTATTGAATGTACTGACCTTGCTGTCTTTGCTAGCAGCTGTTGTTCACTCACATTCTCTGTTTTAATGCTACAACTGTCTCTGCTGTTCCTCCTTCAGAGGATTTACTGCAGAGCAGACAATCTACTTCCTGTTTACCCCGGCTCGCACATGCTCAGTGTAGGTGATGGTCATGTGATGTGTGTTAATGATTATTAGTTCATATTTCAGGGTGGATCTCTCCATCTTCCTCTTCCAGCTGCTGCTGTGTTTAAGAACGACCTGTACCTGTGAGATGGAGCCCAGAGATTTCCATGCTTCCCATTTGGCCTTGTTGACGAAGTCCAGCATGCCTGGCTTGGGCGTGTTGCAGGGACCCTGAGTGGCCTGGAGGGAGAGGGAGAGGTAATCTACACGTTCACCATCAACACAGAGGCAGCTGAACTAACTTTATTAATTACACATGGAGGATCAATCCCCCTTTAACCACAGAAACAAACAGGGCTGACATGTTGAAATAAGAAAACATGAAAGAAAAAGACAAATGGAGAAAGTTGAGCCATTAAAATAATAATTACATAGAAATAATGAGCTGAGCAAGAGATCAGAATAAATAATATTCACACACAAGTTTATAGTTTAGTGAAGTAGATAAAGTTCATGTTTAGGTCTTTCCACAATGGGAGGATTCAGTGTGACAACATTAATGTATAGACTATAGTATTTAGTTGTGATGATGATGATGATGATGATGATGATGATGATGATGATGATGTAACTACAGATTCATCAGCTCGTTCTTCATGACGACTCCTGACTGATGAAAGAGGATGAATCTATATTTATGGATCTGAGCTTCAGTCCATCAGACAGAAACAGCTGCTCTGATGTTTCTACATGTATGTGGCTCTGCTGTGGTTTTAAATGTTGCTGCAGCAAGGGATTGTGGGACGGCATGTCTCCTTTCCTTGGGTAAAGGAAGCTCCAGTGTTTCCTAAAGGTCACATGACTGCTGGTGTGTTCATTAGGCAGCAGACACAGGTGCAGTGAGTGTCTGCTTCCCTCTTCGTTCCTGGGTGTGATCACTGTGTACTTTGATCCATTTTATATGTTGAAATAGAGACGTATCAATGTATTGATTATGTATTGATGTGATTTAGAGCTGGTCTGATCAGTTGGCTCCAGTGAGTTCCTGTTTATCAGTCACAGTAAAAACCAGCAGGGTCTGAAAGGTCCAGAGCTTTTATCAAGTCACAATCACTGATCAATCAATCAGTCCTAATATCACTGATCATCAGAGTCGGAATACTTTATTGATCCCCAGGGGGAAATCTGGAGAAGTTACAGTTGCTCCCTCAGAAAAGAACAGAGAATAGGAAGAAGATAAAGATAAAAAAATAAACATGAAATATAAATATGTCCTTCTACTATAATATATAAATGAAATGTGTTTAAAATTGCTTTTGAAAGTGTCAGAAATGCAGTTAGTGTAATTTAATAAGTATAACTAAATAAATGCTGATGCATGAGCCGGAGCTGGATCAGCAGCAGGAAACGGATGGATGAACAGATCAATAAAAAAATAACTTGTTGATTTAACGTCCATGTATGAATTTTACACGAGGTCAAACAGGAACATTTACTTCCTCCAGCAGAACAGAAACTCTTAAAGACTGTTACAGGTTCTTTTCTGAGGAAAGCTGATGAAGTTATTTTACTTCACGGTGCCGAGGAACCAAGAACCCACCTGGCACCTGAAGTGGACCAGGTTCCAGACGCTTCCACAGGTCGACACAGTGAAGCAGATTACTGACAAACAACAGCTTCATAGTGACTACAGTGTGTTTTTAATCAGCACTGTAGTGGACATTAACAGCTGGAACAGCTGGAGAATCTCCCACCTGTTTGAAGAGAGCGTAGATCTTCAGTTTGACCTCATTGCCGGGGTCGTTCCTCAGCGTCGACAGTTTGCCCTTCGCCTGTTCGAACTGCTCCACGGTCGCACCTGCACACACACTGACCATCAGTGACGACCTGCTTTACTGTATTTGAAAATACTGCACAGTGACAGAGCAGCCCTGAACAGCTGCTGTTTACTGCTGCCAGTGTTGACACTGCTTTCCTCGCTCATATAGCCCCAGGTAAAGGAGGAAGGTGTGAAGTTTTAATAAAGAAAAGTTTATGTAGAGAGAAAAAAATCTGTTGAATTCATGAAAAAAAGAGATTTCATGTTTAAAGTTACATTTAGTCTAAGAAAGGTCAAAAGAAATAATATGAAAAGATGACCATAAGTTGTTTTTTGTCAAACTAACCCACATGCGTTCACTTTACAATGAAGTCAAACAGAAAAGCAACAGATCTTCACTTTGGAGAATCAGAGAAATCTATTATTGATGGTAAATGACTGAAACGATCATTTGATTATTTATCTGTCAGTAAATAAACCAAACTGAAGCGACTCTCAATGGATTTAAAACAAGCACTTGTTTGGATCTGTATGTTTGTTACTCACCCATCATAGGAGAGGCTGTGGTGTGGAACTTCAGACTGGGAATACTGGAGAGTCTGACCAAGCTGGTGACACAGAAGGAAACGTAAAGAGAAAATGAGCTGCAGCCATCCAACTGAAAACTGAGTCACTGAACATTATGATCCTCTTCAGAAGCTCAGTCACTATTTGGCCAAATATAAAACAACAAAACCAGAAAAAAAGGAAATAAAACTATAAAACAAATAAATACACTGCAATTAACAAAATACAGACAAAATATATAGAAACATAGAAACACACAAAAGGAACTTAATAGTTCATCAAATCAGCTGATAATAAATCACATGAAAGGGAAAATATGTATATAATATATATCTTAATAAATCATTTGACAAAATCAAGAAAATGTTCCTTCCTGACGTCTTGACATTTATTTCACTGTATTAATGTTTCGTAATCTTTCCCGCTCTTCTATTTCATTACCAGCTGCTACAGAGTGAGTGTCGTCATGGCAACACCTGGTCCTGGAAACACCTACTGCAGTGGGAGGGAACTACCTCAGAGGTGGTTGTGAGGCAGGTGTGTATACATATATACTGTATGTAATAAACTTTACAGGTGTGCAGTTGAGATGGAGGCGGAGTTACAGATGGCTGTGGTCTGACCATGAGTCATGATGTAATAATGTCGTAATAACTATCCCAGTACAAGATGGTTTCCACTTTATTGTCTTTAACATATTTTATTTTTACATTTTCATCCTTTTCAGTTTGATAGGCTGGAGCCGCTACATGTTTGACACTTTGGACCAATCGATGAATCAGTTAATTGATAAAGGACCAGTTTTTCCAGACCTCTGAATCCAGTCTGGTAATGTCAGCGCCTCCACCTCTGATCCTCCTCTGGGGATGTGGAGCAAAGGTCACAGCTAACTTTAGCTAGCTCTTGTTCAGCTGACACGGCCTCAGGTACGATAATAAACCAGCGGAACAGGTTTTTATTTCCTAATCTAAGAGAGGCTTCTCCTCTGCAGCTCTCACCCGCACATACCTCTTATACCCGGAGTGACTGAGGCTGTCCTGCTAGCTCATCCTACCATCATTCATTCAGCTGCAGGACAGAGAGACCTCCTGACGCACAGCACAGACTCTCTGAGGCTGCTAACCGGGCTAAGCTAACCAGCAGCTGACCTGTGCATAAGTTTTAACCGTTAAAAATCACAGTTAACGCCACCAACAACCAAACACCGCGATAGCTGCGTGAACGTTAACGGACAGTTTTCTAGTCTCACCTTCTTAACTTGACCAAACGCCAGGGAGCGGAACACTGCAGGGCGACGCCGGCCATTTAAACCCAGAGCTGGAGGTCCAAAGAGCAGGAGGTGCAAAGAGGAGGAGGTCCAGAGGAGGTCCACAGAGCCGGAGGACGGACTGAGGTAGGGAAGGGTTAACTAGCTTAACCTCAGCGGAGCTAACCAGCGGAGAACTGCTGCTCCCGCCCACTCTGTCGTCTTCTGCTCTCCCATTGGCTGAAGTGAAGCGTCTGAATCGGATTCATCCAATGGGCGAAGGCTTTGAGAACCGGGTGTCAGCGGTGCGTCCTTTCCGAACCAATCGGAACGGACTCTGACGACGAAGGCCCGCCTCTGTGCGTGTACGCGGCCAATCGGCGGGAAGCGCTCCTTCACGATGCGGCGAGTCCGTGCTGCTCCGGGAAGCGATGATGCAGGAGCTCTGCCGCTCTGTTCGCCTGTCTGGATGCTCCAATTAAAACCATGCCGCAGCCAAAATCCCGGAAAATCGCCGTGTTGGGTTACAGATCGGTGGGTAAGTCCTCGTCATGTCACCTCCATGTTATTAGGCGGGGTTTTGCCGCGCTGCGTGTCAGCCTGGAGCCACGCTACTACTATTGGTTAATTTAAAGCTTTGTCCTTCAGCAACGTGTAGACTGTCCGTCCTGATGTTAGTCCACATGAGACACGAAGACAACATGAATCTGTACAATCACTTAACAGACTTGAAGCAGTAATTGGGGACAAGCCGGGATTGGTTATCCGACAGCCAATCAGATTGTGCGGCAGGTGTGGTCCTGATGCTGCGGCCCTCACACCGTCACCTGATACTGAGTCA